GGTGGCTAAGATTGACCGACCAATGGGAATAGTCTGTTTCCAGGTAGCAAAGGATAGCAACGAAATTCTCAACTCGTGGTCCGTGAACTTGGAAAAACTTCTGGACCTTGTTGAGAAGAGTTGCCATCAAATACACAAGGAAACCATGGTTCACAAAGCTGCTCTAAAAGTATGAAAAAATGAAGAGAAAAAGAATTGTAGGTAGTGGCCTGTCTTTGTCTCAGTTTACTTCATTTCTTTTATGTTGGCATACAAATGCCACAATCTCAAATTTAACATTTCTGCGAAATGATATAATCATATTCTGCAGGTTTGGCCAAGTTGAACTGTGTTTTTGAATGCAAGTTGTTGCATCCCTTCACTCAATAGGCTTTTTTTTTTTTTGTGAAAGTTGTCAGACGTTTCTGTGACTGGATGTTAGATAGTAATTATAGAAAACCTAAATGGTGCTGTTTCCATAGCAGTGGCAGGAAAACAATCGAGTTCACTTGTTTGTATTCTTCATTATTTACATTTTCGGTTCTTTCACATGGTTCACTGGTCCTTTTTTTTTTATTTCCAGAAGTATTGCCTTTTTTCCAATTATATATGACTTATCTCTATAGGTTTTGATCATAATTCACTTTCGGTCAAGTAGTATTGAAAATAAACACTCTCCCAAAACTATGTTGAAATGTAGCTGAAAAATACTAGAAAATTATAGTTTTAAAGTGGGTCTCTCTCGCAATCAGCTAAGGAAGCAAGCATCCTCCAGTCAAATATAAAGAAGCTTATGGTGCAATAATGACCTAAGTAAGGTGAATGTATCATTGACCAAGAGATGGATTCATATAGAATTTACCAGTTCACTGCCAGATAACTAGTAAGGAAATTAAATTCCCCTTCAGCAGGGTGCATATGAAATACTGATATCTTGTCGTCTTGCTTTCGTCTTGGTTAGAGGCTTCTTTTTTCGCTCTATCCAGAAAAAAAAAATTAGCCATCTATTCTCCTTCAATTGTTTATTTTCTACTATCTTAAATAATTGTATCAATGGTAAAAATGGTGTTCTTTGCGCCTTACTTTTCAGTTGAATAAACTAATTAAATATTACTATGTCTGCACAACTTAAGAGAAAATTTCTACTTGATCTCCCAGGGAAAACACAAGCAAGTAACCAATTGGGTTTCAACCCTTTCCATGTTGCACTAATTCCGTTTTGTTGCTTTAGGGAATTAGAAATGAAAATTTGAAAACTGAAATGGGATAGAATATAGATATGATTTTGTAAGGATGAGTAAATGATTAATTCAGTTGATTCAGTGTGTCATAATTGAAAATTGAATAAAATTAATTTTTTTTTTTGAAAAATCGACTGTATCATTTCAATTTAAAGATAAATCAAATTGATCAAAAATCGAATGTGTTTGGTTGATTTGATTATAGACTAAAAGAATAGAAAGTTTGTCACTTTTATCTTTATAAAGTACAATATTAAAATTTATATATTTTATCTTTAATTATTAAATATATAAATAATTTAAATATAAATAAATTAATACTAGCTAACATAGACAAAAGAAAAAAACTAATTAAACGTACTTAAATCAGAACATACAACTAATTAACAGAGACACATATATATACATGATTTTTTTGTCAATTTAGTTTGAAAATTTTCAAGGAATGAAATGTCAAAAAAAAAAAATCCTAACAAAATTAAAATTAGGTACTGAAAGCAACAAAGTTAGACACAAAATGCCAATAAACAACTAAAAAAATACATTCAGGGTGAGTTGCTTTCCAAAAATCCATGGACAGTTGGATAAGCTAGCTGTCACTTGCAGGTTTAGACTTAGAATGACAATCAAAACAAAGAATTGGGGATACCAAATCAAAAACACATTCTCATTCGTCTTAAACAAACAAATTAAGTCTGTAATCACTTGGGAGTCATCCTAATGAGTGAGGGCAGTACTGATTATGCAGACAGGTTCTAGGCGGTGCTTAATTTACATTCGGAGAATAATTTTTCCCCATCAAATCAAAGGATGAGCTTTTGTGGGTCACTAAGGGTAGGAAGGGTCGGGTTCTATTTTGTTCTGCTGCCATGATTTGATGTGTTTTGTATAGACAGGATTGTGTATGTATCAGTCATGAGAGGTGTATAGTTGTCTGATTTTTGTATAATAGGTTTTTGTGGGTAGCTATGAGTATGATTTGGTGAATATACCTGCTTTTTGTGTCCAGGTATAGCCCACAAATCACTGGTTCTTTACTGATGTTTTTTTAATGGGATT